TTCGCTCTTCACTTTTTAAGACTTTAACTTCCGCGTTTAGAGGAGTGTTGTTGGGAGAAAATCTGCTTGCATATGGTGACGCAAAAGTGTGTGGAATTCGATTGGGTATGCATGCCCGGCGGCGAGGTGGTGACTCTAGGTGGTGATGTATGTGATGTAAACGTGTGCACAACGTGAGCAGATCTGACCAGAGTTTTGCGTCTTGGGCTCAGTGTAGAAACGTGAAAACAATGCAAATAGTCGCATGCAAAAGATGATGTCAAAATTAATCTGAAAAATCAATAAATTATCCAACTCTTGTGATGGGATGGTTTCAAAAGATTTTTTGTCGGTGTCCACGTCTCAGAGTCATCCCAAAAAAGAAACAGCCGACTTCACTGCTGGCCTTTGACTAAATCAGGAAAGGCACTTCCGACTTCCGATAAAATATTTTGTCATTTTTACCTGCAAGCGTTCTCGTGTAAACAGGCCCTTAAATGAAATCTCGAGACTGTTTGTGTTAGATCGCGACCACGGCTTTATCGTGTTTTCGGTATTTCTTGGAAACGTTGACCCTGTGCCCTTTTGCAGCACACTTCACTTCACTTTAAAACCGTGTTGGGAAGCGCAGTTTGGATCGTGTCGCTCCACACTGCGGCTGCTGTCACCGCCTCTTTACATAATGACCTGTGGAGTGTCCTCATTACACGAGCTTAAGAGCAGTTTACATGAAAAATGAAAGTTGCACCATCTCCTCCTCCTCTTCTCTCCTCCCTCCCTCTCCTCTCGTTTAACTCTCCTCCTCCTTTCTTTCCTCTTCCCTCCTCCTCCTTCATTCTCCTTTTTCCCCTTTCTCAAACTCCCTCCTCCCATCTCCTTTCTCCTCTTCATCCCTCTCCTTTCCCTCTCTACTATCTCCTCCTTTTCTCCTCTAGCTTCCCTCTTTCCTTCCTCTCTCCCCCTCTAATCTCATTTCTCCTTTTTCCCCTCTCCCCCCTTCTCTCCTCTCCCCTCCCTTCCTGTCTCCTTTCTCCTCTTCGTCCCTCTCCTTTCCGTCGCTACTGTCCCCTCTCCTCCCTTTCTCCACTCGCATCCCCTCTCTCCTCCTCTTCTCCTTCCTCTCTTCTCGCTCTCTCCTCCCTCTCTCCTTCCTCTCTCCTCTCTCTCCTTCCTCTCCTAGCTCTCTCCTTCCTCTCCTCCTCTCCTCCCTCTCTCCTCATCTCTCCTCATCCTCACCTTCCTCTCTCCTCCCTCTCTCCTTCCTCTCCCATCTCCTCATCCTATCCTTCCTCTCTCCTCATCTGTCATCCTCCTCTCCTTCCCTCCTCCTCTCCTTCCCCTCTCCTCCTTCCTCTCTCCTCATCTCTCCTCCACCCCTGCTTCCTCTCTCCTTCTCCCCCCTCTCCTCTCATCTCTCCTTCCGCTCTCCTTTCTCTCTCCTCCCTATCTCCTTCCTCTCTCTTTCCCTCTCTCCTCGCCTCCCTCTCCTTCCTCTCTCCTTCCTCTCTCCTCTCATCTCTCATCCTCTCCTTCTGTTCTCTCCCTCCTCCTCTTCCTCTCTCCTCCTCTCCCTCCTCCTCTCCTCCTCTCCTCTCTCTCTCCTCCTTCCTCTCTCTCCCCTCTTTCCTCCTCCTCTCCTTCCTCTCTCCTCCCTCTCTCCTCCTTCCTCTCTCTTTCCCTCTCTCCTCGCCTCCCTCTCTCCTTCCTCTCTCCTTCTCCCCTCTCCCCTCCCTCCTCTCCTTCCCTCTCTTCTCCCTGTCTCCTCTCATCTCTCCTCCTCTCCTTCCTCTCTCCTCTCTGTCCTCCTCCCTCTCTCCTCCTCTCTCCTCCTCCTCTCCTTCCCCTCTCTCCTCCTCTCCTCCCTCTCTCCTCACATAAAGACATAACATCTGTCTTTTGGTCTTGTTGCCATGGCGCACAGCAGCTCCAAAAGGCACAGACCTGATTCAAAGTTTTCAGGAGGATTAAAAGGCCTGAGTCGGGTCGACGTGGTGTGAATGACTGCGCTACACAACACGCTAAATAATAATCATTTCTACGGCGCTTTCTGTTGGAGGAAAAGGAAATTGTTCGCCAACGTGACTCGGATTCTGAATAATCTTGATTTTGATTTAGCTCGATAGATTTCTGAATATTCACCACTGAAATACAGAAAAACAAACGCCACAGTTGCCATTAGAATGTGGAAGATTAGACTGTAGAGTAAGTGAGTGTGTCGTCACCCATAGTGTTCAGCTCCAGTCAAATGAAGCTCACTGAAGCTGGCAGTTCTAATGGCAAATTTAGAGCCAGTTCTGTTTTTAGGAATAGCGAAAATGGCAAAATAATAACACGAGGATCATGTAGAGCAGATTAATACGAACATTTTGCTCATCGAAAACATACTTGGAGTTGTTGTGTTTTGTTTCATTCACACATGTTTAACACACAAACCCTGCGAATTTATGTTATGAACCTCATTAATCCGTGTAAAACCAAAAATAAGAAAACAAAAAACTATTTTCTTCATCCTTTGTCTCCAAAACCAAAATGAAAAAAGTGAATGATTCATTTTTTCAGTTTTCGATTTTGTGTTTAAATGAATAATGGAAAAAACTGATAACTGCAGTTTCCGTGACTTAAACTGTGATGCCGGACTTTTGTGCCACATACAGACTAAACCAGGACTGAACCAGGTCTAAACCAGGTCTAAACCAAGTCTAAACCAGAACTAAACAAGGGCTGAACCAGGACTGAGCATCGGGACGGGCCAAGAGGTGCGCCCGCGTAGACTGTCAGGTGACCGACTGAGACTGGGACCGAGACCGGGACTGAGACCGGGACTGAGACACCGGGAACTGACTGACCGGGACTGAGACCGGGACTGAGACCGGGACTGAGACCGGGACTGAGACCGGGACTGAGACCGGGACTGAGACGAGTTTAGACCTGATTTAGTCCTGGTTTAGTCCTGGTTTAGACCTGTTTCAGTCGTGGGATCAGTCCTGGGTTCAGTCCATATGCAGCGCAAAAGTCCGGCAACGCAGTTTAAGTTATGGAAACGGGAAACTGTTAACCACTTTTTTTTCATTTTGGTTTTGGGGACAAATCATGAAGAAAATTGTTGTTTTTTGGTTTTATTTTGAAAAACGATTGAACGAATGATACATGGATTCTCATTGTACCTGAGTGTTTAGGCTGAGTTCTTCTCTCAAACTGAAAACTGTCTGTTCCACCTCATGATATCATGGGTTAAAACAGGAAGTGCTCCAATGTGTTTTTAAACTCCGTGCACCTTCACTACAATCATTTGGATGATTTCAGCTCTGGACTTGCCGATCTCTACTGAACAAAAGATAAAACGTAGCTGTTAACCTGAAAACTGCAACTACATGACATCACAAAGTCAAACAGAGCATTTTGAGTTTTGGAGATGTAGACAGACTAATACTGCAGGATTACTCAAACTTGTGTGAATGAAACAAAACACAACTCCGGGTCTGTAGTATGTAGACTCACAGCAGCAGTTTCAGAGGGAGCGATGACCATTTTTCAATACAAACTGAATTGGAGCCAGAGTCGATGGAGCCTGAATCATGCTCACTTCCTGTTTGGAACGCAGCAGATAACGGGTTCGCTCTGTACAGTTTATGGGAAGAACCTGGGAGGGTGGTGCACTTAAGCAGTTCAAATGAGGCTAAAAAGAATAACCGCTTCAGACTCGAGATCAATGAAACATGGGTTGATGTGAATTTTGCAGAGGAAACTTTAGAGTAAAAGCTACAAATGGAACTTTAAATTGTACAAAGAAATCAAGAAGTAGTAGTGAAAGAAGTATCAGAAAACTAGATACTCATTTGAGCAGGTTTTGATACTAAGTCCCATTCACAGGACAGAAATGAACCTTTCCCGAATAACTTTATCAGAACAAGTATAAGAGCACCTAGACTCGTATACGCCTGTGAACCACCAACGGCTATGGAACCTACCTGGACCACTGAGGGATTATTTTTATTATCATCATGGTATTGGAATCTTTTTGGAGTGGTATCAAGTTTGAAATTTTGTATGGTGACTACTTGTGTGTGTGTCTTTTGCATTTTTTGTGTGTCTTCTAGGGGTGTAGCAGTACACAAATGACTTACATTAGCATCTTGTTGCTCCTCTCTCTGTATCTGCTGCTGTGAGCCTCGTCATTTTGGTCTTAAAATGTTCATATTAACATCATCCTGAATTTTTTTTTGACCGTCAAAAAAATCGTATTCATAACAGAATATGGCTCCAGATTCGCTCCTATAACCATGAGCATCGGGAGCCTCATTTGAGCGGCGCTGACTGCTGTGGGTGACGTCACACTCGCATAGTCCATTTCTTTTATACAGTCTATGTTTGGTTCGTACCTCAGGTTTGAGGTCACAGATCGGTTCATTTCCAGTACAGTATGGGAACAAAATGCAGATTCCGTGCCGGTGAAAGTGAGGACCGGGGCGCGCCAACCGTAGTTTTGCGAGGATTCATGTGGTTCGGAGGGAGGTAGTCAAGGTGGGGGGCAGTTATTGTCAAGGCGACCGCCCTAACTATAAAGCACTACGGAAAACACTGCCACCCCAATCAAAAAGCCGAGCCTTCTGTGTAGCTGCACATGTAGTGGCAGAATGTAAACACACACAAATTGCGCAAACTAACTCATGCACAACTCTGCACCTGAACGACCCGTACTGAAACGGTTCAGCACGAATACATGTACCTTTACACTTCTAGTGTCTTCTATGCTTACGTTTAGTATCACAGTATATCCATACTTTGATATTCTTGCACACCTCTAATGTGATGGAGTCACATATTGTCCAGGACCGTCTCTGTAGTAAAGTGTTCATTTGTATTCTTTAATCATTTGGTTTCCAAAACAAAATATCTGTCTGTTCTGGAGGCACTTTTTAAGGCCAGTACACTAAAAGTTTATATAAAAGCAAGACTGTTCTCAATATCTCATGAAATGCTCTGTACAATCTCTAACCTGTAGCTGCTCCTGTGTGTTTTAGGTCACAGCATGGTGATGGTGGAGGACGGGGACCAGGGCCTGGAGCACTGGGGCAGACGGCTCATGGCCTCTGAGCTGGACAACAACACCGTGCCCAAGAACTGCTCCCAACCAGGTCTGTACTTTTTTATGTGTATCCTGTTCTAATATGAAGTAGGAACAAGAAAATGAGGTCCTATGTCCGAAATACCGGCCTGTCTCTTTAAGTTGTTATCCAAATTGGTGCACGAGAAGAGCAGATGCAGCAGAGACGGCCGCGCGCTGGGACGATTAAGGACTTGTACTGTACTCCTGTATCCTCCTGTAGACTGTATAGTGCTGCTGTGAGTAGTTGCGGGTCTCTTGCTGTTCTAAGCAGAGTTAAGGCTATTTAAAGGGTCGGGTATTGATTGCGTTGCTGCGTCGCGGTGCAGGAGGCTCTATCCCAGACGAGTGCTGACACCACACGGCTGCACACGGATCCTCACGCCGTCGTCCACTGGAACACGAGGAATGAGTATCGAAATTGAGTTGGAAATTACAGTATCGAACAACACTAAAGACTAAACTCGATACTGAATACTGATTCTGAAACACTCTTTAGACAACAGAATGTGATTTTCAACATTAAACGGCCCATATTACTCTATTTTCTGATCTATTTTCTTTAGTTTTTTTCCTCTTCACAAACAAACCTGGAGTTGTTTTGTTATTCACACATTTTTAACGCACAAACTAGGGCTGCTCATGATGGAAAAAAAATCATTGTCACGATTATTTTGGTCAATATTGAAATCACGATTATTCAAACGATTATTTTTTAGTTACACAATGCATTTATTTTGCATTTCTCTCTCTCAAAAAACACTTTTGATAATTTATGCAAAACTTTCAAATAGAAAATAAACATAGGCTACAAATATGTACACTGTGCGATTTTAGTGTTAAAGTAAAATTTTTGGGATCGGGCAGAGTTTTGGCTTAATCGTGTGTCGTGGTTCATGTAGTCAACATGGGGTAACAAGAACCGATTCATACTTCACGACCAGCTCCTGATCAGCAGTCGTAGGTCACAAGAATATCAAACCTGTTTTGAAAATCCTGTCACCTCTCGTGAGGGTTTCGCTCTGTTGAAAGTCGTTCCACGAGCTGTGAACTTTTAAACCCTGCGATTTGGTCGTACAGTTTGAGCTGCGGCTGAGCGAAACGATCGAAAATATCGCACAGTGTACATCCGGCATGAAAGAAGTTTTAGCGATAGAAAATTTTAAATGAATAAAATGCATTTTGAAATATAAATGTATCCAAAATAAAGTATATATCCAGCTGTTCAACGATCTCTATATTTAAATAAATAAATAAATATTCTTCCCAAAATCCCCAAATAAACGTTAAGCTTTATCATTTCAACTATACGAGTTTGGAGATTGTTTGACACACAAATCGAAATCGTGATTAAAAACTCAATGAATTGCACAGCCTTAGCACAAACCCTGCGTATTTAGTTCTTTAAGTTCTTCTCTCAAACTGAAAACACTCTGTTCCACCTTCAGAATCAGAATCAAATTTATTTGTCATTCCAGTATAAAAAATACACAGAAACGAAACAATGCACTCAGGTCCAGGTCAACAGCAGCACAGATAACAATAAGAACAAATAGTTATAATAAGAATAAATAGTTATAACAAGAATAAAATAGTTAAAAATATTGTATGTCAACCCGCCCCCATTTTCTAAAGTGCGTTCCAAGTCAGTGCTGTTTTGTAGTGTTTTTTCTGACAGAATTAATCTGTCTCACGGCATCAGGATAAAAACTGTTCCGTAGTCTCGTGGTCCTGGCCTGTAGGTGGTGTGATATAATAACAATGTAAGTGCACCACAAGGAGGAACAGAGCGTTTTGAGCTTTGGAAATGTAGACATACTCATATTAAAGTTACTCCAAAATGTGTGAATGAAACAAAACACAACTCCAGGTCTGTTTTTGAGGAGGTAACAACATTATAACTTGGCTCGGAACAAGTTATTTGGAAAAACACAGTTGTGGTTGACACTTCAGTTAAAGTTAAGCAAAATTTATTCAAGGTAGTAATTTCTGTCTGTACAGTATATAGAGGTAGACCTTTAACCGTTCAGTTGATTAATCAGTAGTGATGCTGAGATCCGATACTGGCATCCGATATCAATGCTAAAAATATCGATACTGACAAAATTGCTCACTCAGATATTGTCTTCCAAATATCTGTTCAGTGGACATCCTGATTGGACATATATAAGTTGCTCTGTTGTTACTTGAGGGATAAATAACAGCTCCATAACACATTTGGATCAGTTTTGTCCCATTTTTATTTTGTTTTCACTCTCTGCGCCGGCATGGTTTAATATTTGGTATTGGCAGAAATGTAAAGCCATAATATCACAGTCTGTATTGGAACTGAAAAGCTTGATCAGTGCTTCACTATCAGTCGAAAGTGTCTCAGTCGACCAAAATTTGTATTCATTTTCGTTTTATACGGATTTATGAGAAAACAGCCAGACCTTTACAGACTAAATCGCGTTAATAGCTTGTACTGTGTTTGACAAACAGGATCAGAGCAGGGCTCGCAGTGTGTGGGAGGTGCTCTCAAGTGTTAGTTCGTGATCATAGTGTGAAGAAAAGCTCCAAATGAATCCTGCTATTTTATATGTTACATTAGTGTAACCAAGGCAATGCAATTCTGTCCCAATGTTCCCTTTTTAGACAGAAAGAAATATTCTTCATGTTTTAGAAAACTCTTAAATGATCTTCATCACAAAGCTGTGTGTTGTTGTGATGAGATTTGAGTAGTTCGTGCTGGGCTATGACACAGTTGCCGCATGTGAAAGCTCAAAACCTCCAGAATTCCCTCCCTGAGCTGCAGAGGCTGCACTAGCACTGATTCATGATTGTCTGCAGGAGCTGGGGTTTAGTAAGTGACCATTCAGATCAGAGAGAGGCATTTTAACCAAGTGGATTTCAGAATTTAAACTGGCAACCCAACTGAGAGACTCGTGAGGCTCAGGCCCCGTTTACACGTATCGTACGACTTCAGTAAACTACAAAGCCGCAGCGCACACAAACACACACGGAGCAGACAGCGACTGCGCAGCGAAAAATACCCACAGACACACTCATCACTCCACGCCGACGAGGAACGGAATGGAGGAACGAACTGAAAAAGCACAACTGAACAACTGAGTCACTGCGAACACGCCGACAATCCGTTGGTCCCAGACAGCACCCTCCCTACACGCCACAACTGAACAAAGCCCAGAGTCACCGTGAACGCCACAAACAAAGTCACACTGACCCATCCAACTGTTGCGTTTCGTTTAAAGTTGGTTTATTTGTGGAAAAAATTTCAAAAAATAGACCATTTAATGACAGTGCGCCTTATAATCCAGAGCGCCTAATAGTACAGAAAATACGGTATACGGATATTTTTAAAAACTGAGACATTTCCCTTCGTTTGTACCCATCTTTTACACGCAAACAGCGAATTCACCTTTGAAACAAATCTTTCTAAAAACTCGGGCTAGAGTGGAGATTCTGAAAAACTACGGTTTGGTGTTTGCGTGTAAAATGAGATAGTTTTAGGAGCTGACGCATCAAAAGTGCGACCAGTGTTTCCCTTTTGCTCTGATGATGATGATGATGATGAAGCATTCAGAGCAGCAGTCACATTTCTTCTGGTGCAAACAATTTTCATGTGTTTACATTTGTACACACAGCTGATGTTTCATTTCCATGACCAGAGACGAATGAGCTCGGAGGTCAGTGGTTTTGACGCTTCTCTACTTTACTACAAGTTCCTTTGCTTAAATGCATAGTTTTATAGCAGCAACAGCTTATGAACTTCTGAAACTACATATCCCATGATTCATTTCAGTGCAAACAACATGAAGAAATATGTTTTTTACTTGAATTCTTGGGATTATGATGGTAATAATTCACACCAATATCTCGTCGAGGTATTTTAAAAGCAAAAAAAGTGTCCCATCTATAATTATATCAGCCTCTTCAAAATATCACAGTAAATATCGTACCGTGAGATGCATATCATGATAATATCGTACCGAGAAATTTGGATATCGTTACATCCTTAGTCTTGAGTATCGAGTCTCTTCCTTAGTATCGAAATTGAGTTTGAAATTTGAGTATATAGTGCGTAAAATCTGCCTCACCAGGATTATTTAACCAGGCGTGACATCAAATCAAATCCCTTGGTGTGTTTTCGAGGTACCATGTTGTGCTTTTTCTTTTTTTTTTTTTTTTTACCGTGGTCAGGAGCTCAGAGTAGATTTAGCAGACTTATGTGGCCTGTTAAGTGCTAATGGAAAGAATGCCAAATGAGGAGATTAGGCGCTGGACGTTTTGCCCTAATCCCAAAGATTAAAGTATTCTTCTGGATCTTTCCGACATCTCCGTTGAGTCAGGGGCACAGTCACGGCCCTGTTACTCGCTCCGAGGAACAGCCGGTCATGTGACTGGTCTTTATGGGCGTCACTTGACATAACAGCATTCCACAGAACCAGTAGTTTAATGTTGAAATGTATCGCAGGTCCAGAGTAGTACTTAAAATGAAAAAGATGAAGTTTAAGTACTCAATTTTCTATTTTAAGTGAAAGTACAGCATGGGCAAAAATTTTATCAAGTAAAAGTACTGCATGAAAAAATCTACTTAAGTATTAAAGTGCCTGTTTAAAAATGTACTATGTAATGCAATGTAATTTAAGCATTTTGCACAAATTTTTAGAACAATTAAAGGATGAAATGCAGTGATTTTGATTCAGCTGATTTTAAGTCAGTTGATTTCTTAGGCCCCATCCACACTAGTAATTATTCGAGTCTTTTTCGTTGTGGATGCAGTGTTCCTCCACACTAATCCGACAGAATACGGCTCTTGTGGACGCCTGAAAACATTGATACGTTGATGTAGGAGCTCTAGTTGCCGTCCTTATTGGACCACGTCGCTGTGACTTCTGCCTTCCACACTCTGAGCTGCCATGCTCGTCTTAAAATCCAGTGTTATGTTCAGTAACAACTGAACTTCGTCGTCGCTCCATGAAAAGAAAAGTTTTCACGCTCACCATCTTCCTCCGCTCGAAATCGGCTGCT